CCTAGCTCAGATGGTATTGAACCTGTGAAGAAGTTTTCTGAAAGTCTAAGTTCATAGAGCTTCTTGCATTGCTGGATAGTTGGAGGAATGGAACCTGAAAGATTGTTTCTTTGCAGATTTAGGACATTCAGTGAAGTGAGGTCCCCAATCTCGTGTGGGATCTCGCCGGAGAGATTGTTGGTATCAAGAGAAAGCTTTAGTAATCTTGAACAGTTTCCAAGCTCAGCAGGAACCGGTCCATGGAAATTATTGCCAGAAAGATGTAGCTCTCCGAGTTCCCGTAGGCTCCCCAGCCAATTAGGCATTTTGCCTGTGAATTGGTTATTGTTAAGCAGAAGGTGCTGAAGGTTTTGACAGCTAGAGAGTTGGGATGGCACTTCTCCTGTGAGATGGTTGAAGGATAAATCGAGAAAAGCGAGCTTTGTGAGTTGGCCTAACTCTGAAGGAATGTTACCAGTGAGAAGATTGGTTGCCAGGCGGAGACGGCTTAGATTTTTCGAAATGGCTAGCGTCGAAGGAATGCTGCCTGAGAAGCTGTTGTTTGTTAAATCCAAGGCAGTCAAAGAATTGGAACCTGTCAGGGGAAAGATGGTGCCACTGAACTTATTGTGAGAAAAATTGATTATTTTGAGGTTCCTTAGATAGGAGAGTGATTCAGGTAAAGGACCTTCAAAAGAGTTGTTGTAAAGTGTAACAGTGGTCAATTCAGAAAGGAATCTGAATGTTGGTGGCAAAACCCCTGAGAGTTTATTATCAGCTAAAGCCAACCGCTGCAGCATTTTGCAGTAGCCCAAACTTGGCGGAATTGGACCTGACAAGTCATTCTGCCTCAATTGAAGCAAAACTAGATTTTTGAGCTTTCCAATAGTTTCAGGAATAGAACCGCTGAAGTGGTTCCCAAAGAAATCAATGGCAGTTAAGCTTGTGCAATTTGTTAACTCCATCGGTATACTTCCTGACATCTGGTTATCATAGAGGTAGATGGTGCTCAGCCTCTGCAGCTTGCCGATCTCCGCTGGAATTGAACCTGTGATTATGTTGTCAAAGAGAAAAAGATTTTCCAAGTTACTCATGTTTCCGATTCCAGGAGGAAGACTTCCGCTGAAGCTGTTATTATTGAGCAGGAGATCTGTGAGGTTCTGTAATTTGTCAAAGCTAGGTGGTAACTCTCCTTCAAAATTGTTGTTGGAAAGATCGAGTTGCTGGAGTGAGGAGCAGTTCAGCAGCTCCAAGGGGAACCCTCCAGAGAGCTTATTTTGAGCCAGAAAAAGTTGTTGCAAATTTGAATTCTTATGGCAAAAGTTGCTTGGAATGCTTCCTGTGAAAGCATTGTCAGCCAAAACTAGAACTTCAAGATCCTGCAATTGGATATTAAACAGGTTGATGCTCCCTGATAGGTTATTACTGGACAAGTCAAGCTTCTGGAGCTGAACCAAATGGTTTAGCTCTGAAGGAATTTCGCCATTTAGCCTATTTCCAAGCAAATTCAAGTACTGCAAATTGGAAAGATGACTTAGCTCAGTAGGAATCAATCCAGAAAGGCTGTTATTGGCCAAGTTCAAAATTTGCAGCGATTGAAGCTTCCCGATTGAAGCAGGGATTTCTCCATCAAGCTTGTTGTTTGATGCTGCAAAATTTTGAAGCTCGTCACAGCCATGAATCTCTGTTGGAATGAGGCCACTGAGACTGTTCTGCTGCAAATCAAGAGATATCAGATTCTTCAAGTTACCAATCTCTGCAGGAATACTTCCATTTAATTGGCAATACGCAAGACCCAGCACTCTCAACTCAGTCAAGTTGCCAATATTTGGTGGGATTTGACCAGCCAACATGTTATCTCCTATTCTAAGAACTTGCAGCTTCTTCAAAAGGCCTATCTCTGGGGGGATTTTACCAGAGAGACTATTTGAATATAGGAGCAGTGTTCTTAGATTTTGAAGCTGTCCAATCTCGGGGGGAATTGAGCCAGTGAGAAAATTCAGAGACAAGTCAAGTGTTTGAAGAGAACTGAGGTTCCAAAACTCAGGCGGTATGGAACCTGACAATCTTGAAGCAGACAGGTTCAAACCAATGACATAAGCTTCATCATCTGAACATCTCAGGCCATTCCAGCTGCATACGTGAGCTGTGGGAGACCAGCTCTCAAGAACCCCTGCAGGATCAACTACCTTTGATTTGATTCTGTGAAGCCAGTAGGAATCTGTTGAACTATCTCCAAAAGTGACAGCCAGAACAGCAGTCAGGACCGTAAAGAACAAAACAAAATGGGATATTCGAATACAATCCATTTCAAATGGTGACCAAGTTCAGTTCCAAACCAAAACGTATCAGTTACCAGATTCTGTGGCTCCAGTAATGCAACTGTTGGAGCTTGATTCCATGTTTCAAAGGCCAGAACAAGCAAGAAAAGTTCAACTGAATCAAGGTGGCAAACAGTACGCAAGAGAAGGAACAGACATACAAGAAGGGAATTTCAATGAAAGATCGCACTGGTTTAAATAGTTTGGAAGATCAAAGCCTGGAGGTTTAAATACTTACTGAAGGAGGCCTGCCTAGTGCCTAATCAATTTGAACACAAACGTCATAATAATAAAGTATCAAACAGTAATTAAGCCGTCCCATCAATAAAATAGTAATTAAGCTCCAGCCACAAAATTCTCTTAGAAGACAGCCCTCTCTTTTAACCTTTTCAAATTTTGCCAAAAACTTATGGTGGGTTTTTTCTCTTTTTCCTTTGCAGACAATTATGGAATCTTGAAGCATGTTTTAGTAGCCTGTGAGAAAGGGAATCGTACAAGAATACAATACATAAGAGATAAGATGCAGTGATGGGTATGTTGAAGAAGGAAAAAGTGCCTAGCAGAAAAACTCAAAGACGTGGGCCTCTCCCTGGCCTCTACTTGTCAGGTATAGATCGCATTCATGCTAAGACAAACAATAATTCTCACAGCATATCAAGAAAAACATTATTAGAGTGCTTTGGAAATGCCCCAAAAGATTTAAATTTTGACTCTTTGATGAGCCTTGGAGACACAGTCAATTTGGCTTTTGAACTATTGTCAGCTAAATTGGTCTAAAACCATTATGCTGCTGAAAGTTATAGGATGATCCAAAGTAGCGTAGAGGACCATAAGCGTGCAACCTGAATGGACCAGTTGGCCTGGCAAGTGAGATGATTTCAATCATCAAACAAACAGAGGGAACCCTTTTCACATCGAATCGTGAATATAATTATCAAGAGAATCTAGTCGATCACTACTAAAAATTTGAATTTAATCTTTGAAAAATTTAAGTGATTTAAATTTAAAAAGTTATTGATCTATTGGTGTTTGGATCCGAGTTGTTACAAGGCGAACTTGTAACTGCACACTATCATGGCTGATTGAATGGCTCGGATTAGCTTGTCGTCTTTGGTTGAATAAAGCTTCGTCTGAATGCTAGTATTCTGTACTATGTTTCTTCATACCTTTCTCATTTTTATTCTCCCCTCTTTGACTTTTTTTTTCTCTGCTATGACTTTATTCTGTATTATCTAGACTTCGGATAAGAGTATCGCTTCTCGTCACCTAAACCACCAAATACCAACTTAAATACAAGAAGAAAACAAACCAGAATAACAACCATAATGAATTTTACAGTAGAGACAGGCTTCATTGATCATTATTCAAACCAAGATGGGAACTGAGGCATGTGCAGGTTTGGTGTTATGCACCCGAGAAATGTTTCCATTGGCTGGAGTAGGTTTTATAAAATCGAAAGAGAATTACTTCATCAAATTCAAAGGATTCTAATGACCAACACACTAACTGGACAAAAAGGATTCTGCTCAAAAAGTAACAAAACACACACGACAAACAAGTGCACCAACTGTGTTCCTGATAGATATCTGTGCATGCCAGGCTTCCAGTTTTAGCTTTTAGATTCTCACTTTGCTTGGTTTCTCAGTATTCAAGCAAGAGGCAACCAACACGGGTTGGAAATCCAACATGTTTCGTCCCATCAAAATGCCCAGACAAGAGAACAATTTACTACTTACAACCTGGACCATTTAGTTGTTACCCAAGTGCCCCCTTTTAACTTTTGCTTTTACCATGAAACAAATCTCCAATGACTTTCATTGTCATGGCTCTGCTGTGAACCTTCTCAGAGTGTAACCCACCAAGGAAATACGTTGAAAAACAGGTTCAAATAGTCACACTCACGAGTCAGCATGCTTAAAATATGTTTGCTTTTCTTTTTCCTTAATACATCATATTCAAACAATAGAGACCATGATGCAAGAATGACAATTCCCTCTTCACAAGGAGAAAGCCTATCATCTAAATAAATTATTCATCTTAGAATTTCTTTGACCTACAATTTGTTTATGAGATATATTCCATTGTCAACCTGATCTCAGCCTTTTACCCAATCGTTTGCTTTAGATATGGAATGTTGTTGAGGAGCTACCTACTCCGGAGTTCATACAGATAATCAAAAGGGAGAAGGTAAAGTATTCAATGATTATGTTGAAAATAATAATTATTAAATAAGGCTTCCCTCCACCCCACTCAACCCAAAGGGGGAAAAGGGAAGGAACATCTTTTGTTTAAAAGTTAGAAGGAACATTTATAGGCAAATAGGGAGAAGATGACCAACAGATTAAACAATTAGAAATTGTTTTGATTTATTCTAGGTGGCTTTTTCTGCTTCTCAATCATATGAGAATCACCTTATGAAACTTTGATCTTTAAGGGATGACTTTTAAGGGCATGGAATAAGGAAAATAGTGCTACCCCAACCTGAAAAATTGTCTTGGGGTTAGATAGAAGCCTATTTTCATCTTCAGGTTAGCCATCCTGGTTTGACAGCCAATTCTTTTCTGATGCGGCAATGCCTTAACAAAACCAAATAAGATAAGAATAGGGACTCTGCCTACTTGGTCAGAGAACTAATCAGATCAAAAACCAGAAACAAGTTTCCGGAGCAATAGATTACCTGCACAACATGAGTTAAACAACTTTCACAGGCAACAGCAGACAAATTTTCCATTGAATAAACAGTACATCCGACCGAGATTTCTACACAACAAAATTTCATTGAAATGTTGGGTAATTAAATCTCAATTAGCAGTGTAGCACTGCCTTGATAACTCTATATGGCCCTTCAAAGTTAAATTGCCAGATATGGATTATATCTATAAGAGAAAAATATCAATATACAGAGCTGCGACTCATGTTTATAAATGAGTTGAAAACCAAATGCTTTCCACTGTTCTGATTGTAAGGTCAGATTAGGTCCTGGCAAATGCAACTTTGAACTAAGAGCAAGAAATAATGACTACTTTTGCTGTCTTCAGCGCAGAGAACCTCTCTTTCAAGATCCTGCAACAACCTTTTTGATAGGCTTCAAGTAGGATGATTTCAAAATCCTCAATTTCCAAATTCCCAGCAGAGCAGAACCAAACAATATATGCCAGGCCCAATATATATAATTACTTGAAACAAGATCGAATGCAGTCTTCTACTCAATAACATGTAATCATAATTTTACCAACCTTAACATGAAATTCACTCCCCACTACGTTATCCTGGTGGTGGAATGATAGAACCTCATGAGGAAACTTGAGAGGGACCAAATGCAGATAACTCCAAGGCACTGGAGGACATTCAAAAGTGTCCCCAAAGAGTTGTTTATTGCCAAGTTGTGTGTAGTCATTTCAGCACCTCTCACAGTGAATGACAGGGCTGTCACTAGTTGTGCTGCTCTATTCAGTTGGTGCAATCTATAAACCTGTTAAAGCATAAAGAATATATTTCAATTTGACAGAAAAGTCAGCTAAGAATATCAAAACATATTAAATAACAAAAAGAAACATATAAACTCATAAGGAAAAACATGTTGTGATGCACATGTGAAGATAAAAGATCACGAAACGAAAAATAATAGAACTGTTAAAATTATTGCTCCTCTCCAGTTAACAATGACTCTCAAAGAAAGGTAGTCATAAAATAAGCCATAACTGCCCTTACTTGAAAGATTATTGGGATGACAGGCCATGAAGGTGACTTCAGATATCTTGCATACTGTTCAAAGGCAAACTGGACAACGATACCAACCAGGTAAGGAGCTAGAGTAGCGGATGCTGCTGGACCAGTCCAGGGCCAGACTAAACCCATTGTTACCATAGGAATTATAAGACTAAGTGCAAGGGTGGCAACAGAAGAGATTCGTTGACCCAAGTGAGGGGCCAAGGTTTCAGCTGCAGAATCTGGCCCAATATGCCTCCTTTGATGGTCAATTAGCAAAAGAAAAATGGCAACCCCACAGTAGAAGAGTGCTTCTGTGAAGAACAATATGAGAAAATCTGCAGACAGAGAACACAAGGCTATTTAGAGAAGGATCAAATTTATCTCATACAACAGCAAAACAAAGAGAACAAATAATCCAGTTTAACATATCACAGACATCAAGTAGAGAAACTGCCATAGCAATACATCACTACAGACTCATTTGAGTGTGCACTCTCTTCAGAGTACATCATCTGTTATTTTCTTAAAATTGGCAATTTTTCCAGTATCTGTCCAATATCTGCTGAATATATTAAATTTGTTGTGCTATAATTAACACGCTAATTGCTGTTGAACAACAAGAGGCCACTGTAACCACCAAGTTCAAACACCTCCATTCATCTCAACAAACTAACATTGTTCCTAAAAGGTTCCTATATATGGCTGCTCTTCACCATTTACGTTTTTCCCTCATTTTCTCAGGTTATGATCACCATTAATAAACACAAAAATACACCTATATGGAAAGAGGATGTCAAAAATAACAAGAAAATCAGCCGCACATCCTCTGATATCCTGGTTACCTTTCTTATCCTTCTTTAATGTAGCTGCATGTTTCATTTGGTTCACTTGGTTTCTTAAGCTGCTTAGTGTCAAATGAAAGTCCAGATGAGAAGAAGAAGCAAAAAAGAGGAGGGATGGGGGAAAAAGGAAAGAGGAAGTCTCAGTATAGGAAATTGCAGTCACCTGTTAGCAAGGAGTCTTCAAATATGGTGGAAAGTATTCTGCGTAAATACAACGAGGGGAAAATGAAAGAGGCCACAAGGACAGCAGGACCAATAAACCATAGCAAGCTGCTCTCATTCCTCTGCACAGTAGGAATGACTTCATCATCTCTTTTGTATGGCCGATTGTAAAATGAAATAAAACCTGGTTTTCCTTCAGTTCCCTCAAAAGATATAGATGAAAAGCCAGCAGGAGAGATATCTTCAGGACCAGGATGGTCACTTAACTGCTCTGAATCATCAGGCTTGATCTCAATGTACTGAGATTGTTCTTTGAATGTAGCAAAAGGTAAATTTTGTCTCCTTTGAAACCCCTTCAACTTCAGCACTACATGTAAGAATTGACGTAAAGTAAATACTCATCACACCAGTCAAATTTCAAAATCATTGCTAATATACCTGATTCATTGGTCTTCTAAAATTTACTATGGAGGAGAATACAAACTTGTAGCCATCTGGTCAGCTAAAATTTAGAGGCTCAAAATGACTATAATTGAAGCATCTCACAACTTCTTCAAGGGCAATTCAAATTTAGGCCCAGTTACACCTTAAAACAAAGTCCTTCAAGGGTCTTGGGGATGATTAAAGTCCAAATCTTAAAAAAAAATTTAGAGATTCATATGTCATGCAACAAGTTGCAGAAGTTACCTTTAACATTTCTAAGCTGCTCAGTCCTATCTCGCTGGTCATTATATGGTCTTCTTAATAAGCTCAGCTGGATAGGAAAACACAAGAGATATAAAAGTGGAAAAAACAATGGGGCCCTTTAACTAAGAGAAATCTTTGAACAATTTCAGATAAGCCCAAACTGGGATTGCAGGATGTCAAATCTAACAAATTAGTCAAAAAACATATGATATTAACCACTTCAAATAGAAAGTCTCTGACAGATAATGGTAGAATTCATTGTGCAGATCGTAGTAAACAATTACTAGTTTTTACAGAGTATGAGTTTAGGCTAATATTCAAAATTCACAGAGCATGAGTTTAGACTAAAATAATTCCAAAGCAATTTTCGACAAGTTATCTTAGCAATTAAAAATTCCATTTTATATTTCCCGTTTTTAACAATAAAAAGAAGCTGGGAAAGAAAATCTGAGAGTAGTTGCATACTATTCAGGTCAGAATATCCACTAAAATGCAACACACACAGTCGAACACACATATCTCTAATCATTTCTAATTTACTGAATGCTTGGCCTTATTCACATTGGTCCATATGTAACTCAAGCTTGCACTTTTTGTCAATAATGGAAACAGATTTAACAATCCCTTCAAAAGATATACATAATACGATCTTAACCCATCAAGGTCTGTTAACAGTACTACATCATTCTCTTACAATCAAATGAACCTTACAATTAAGTGAATCACTTATTCTTCATGCTTCTTGCCAACTCCTAACATAGTTGACCAAGCTTCAAAAAAAGTAAAGAAATCCCAGTTGAACCAAGGTGTTCAAAAAGATTTGATCAACGAATATCTAATGCTGATAAAATATCTCAAGAACAATTAGCAGGCAGCATAAACATGCACTACTTTAAAACCAGAGTAACCCACCGATAACAAGAGTCATTAACTCAAAATAAAACCATTATTTACACTCTACATATACTCTTGAACATGACGAGATAATGTTAGTAAAAATAAATGTATTTAATAAGAGGAAAAAAACTACTAAAAGGTAAAGCTTTTCCCTTGGTGGGTGACCAAAGAGAAGAAAGAACATACCCGAAAATGAAAAGGAGAAGAAAGGGAAGAAGCCACGTAAGTATATGAAGCAGAAGCAGAACCTGAACCACATCTAAAAGCCATAAACAAATATATATTGCAGAGCAGTAGAGGTAAAAGGAAGAGGAAGAGAGCAGTGTCTATGAGAGAGTCAAGCAGCGGCTGTGAGTGGATTCTGAGGACTACCCAAATGAATTGAAGGGAATTTAAGAAGACCCATGTCAGCAAATCTGTTCAGAAAGAGAGGGAATTTGGAGAAACTGAGGAAATGGGAATTTTTCTTCTTGGAAGTTCGAGGGAGGAGTGAAGAGAAAAAAAGAGCGGCCCGCTTGTTTCCTTTCTTCCCTGATTGACACTTTATATGTATGTATCTATCGTTATTCGTTCGTTGGGCCTAAACAGCGGTCCAATTTTAGACATCCTGCGTCCTACTCTTACATGGACCTCTCACCCTTCACTTGAACTAAACCAGAATTTTTTCCTCTTATTCTTTGTTTTCATTTCCTTCCTCCGACCTTTCTGCCAATTCATTCTAATAGGATTAGATTACCATACTCAGGAAACTCTTCTTCAGATTCATAAATGTCATTAAACCTAGTTAATTAGAAGCAAAACTTGTTGTGAGAATTTTGTTTGTTGGATCCTGAATCGGGTGCATAGCTTACCGGAAAAAGAATGAAGATTTTGGTAAAGAATGTAAAGCTAAACTCTTTTAGAAGGCCTGAACCATCCAGGAACAGCACTCCAACAGCAAGCATAATAGAATACATAATGGAGGAGAAGAAAAGAAATGAACAAAACAGCTACAGCTTCGGGTAAGAATAAAATCATTTCATTACAAAAATTACATAAATCTGACAGTTTCAATCCTTTTTCAACTCCAAGATATTAAGAATCACCCCAGTACAAAATGGGGTTTGCTACCTCTGCTCCAAAATTTTCAACCTTTGAAACATTTTAATATCAAACTCTAAATCCACTCCTTTATCCTCACCTACGACTTTCCTCAGATCAGAATCTCCAAATCTAAATGAGATTTGCTCTCTTTAGGAACCGGATGGTTCTGCAATAATATGGCCATATTGATTCCACGAAGTCCAGGTACTTCTCCATCGCCCACTCTTGGAAATCTTTCATCTTTCTTCTAGATAGCTCCTTGTAGTCCAAGTTCTTCAAGTCTACCACAGGTTGCCAGAAACGAGCTCGTACATCTTCCTTGAGCTTTCCACGTGCAATATAATTATAGGCCAGGAGGTAGTAAGTAGGTAAGTTCCTAATTATCTGAACCGTCTGTTTGAAGCAGAAAACATAGAGCGCACACAAGCCTCTAAGCATCTTGATGTAAAGAGCAACAATCAGAGGCCCAAATACCCAGAGAGGAGTCAACTCCTTTGAAACTTCAGCCCCATAAATCAAACTGACAGCCAGATACCATGGAACGCTGCACATACAGCACAGCAATTGTTAGCAGTGGACACATATATACAAAGCATTTCACCTATAAATTATAATAAATTTCTATTCATATTATTATGGATTATGAAGAAAGCAAAAAAGCTGCTCTGATAGTACAGTAGGTTGTCTCAGTTTCTACACCCTTCCCCCTTTTTTCATCAAGATACCTTGACAATATACTGTGGTTGAGCCAGGATGGCATGCAAAGTAAAATTACGACATAGGACAAGTCAAATAATTGACCAATTTGACTGAAAGAAACTATTAATCATAAACTAAGAATTCAAACGATTCAACGTTACAATTTTGACCAACATAATAGATGACATCAATAAGCATAGAGCTGCTACTAATCATCCAGAGGCTAGAAAGAGGAGCACTATAATTGGTTAGCAAGAACAAAATCAGAACCACCAAACCAGCTAACTTATCAAGTTGATCTGAGCAAAGTCAAAAGTTCTTAAATCCAGATATGGACTCTTTGGTTTTTTAGGAAAGACACATGATGCACCTATGATCAATTTGATATCACAAATATCAAAAATACCTAATAAAGCATGCAGATTGCGATAAAATCTGCAATAGGGTACAGAAAGATAGAAAATGGCTGGCATAAACAACTATACTTACAATATCAATAAGGGTATTTTAATCGTAGCATCCATACTCCAGAAATGGCTCCAAACTATCTTTAGAAACTCGCTTTGTCTATTGCTTTGGGTGCCAACTTGAGTTTCTGATGTGTCCCTTGGAGGTAGTCCTTCTCCAAGAGCTTCATCCATCACTTGACTTGGGGATTGTGAGCGCAATATCATTATCCATTTCTTAAATAATTTCTGAATAGCAGGGGATCCCACAATGGTCTCACTTGTTTCCGAGGCATAGGCAAGTTGACCATTATGAGTCTTTGAAGATTCTATCGTGGTCTCTTCACCGTCTTTTGGAACATAAGAAACTTTAATAGAATTCTTGGGAACACTTGCATCATTTGCTCTGCCACCTGATTCATTACTCTGGGCACTGCCTTTGAAGGCTGAAATTCTAATATTCTTGGCTTTCAATCCACGAGTACGAGGAGCCCCTGTACTGCAAAAATAAGCCATCTGAATTTATACGTTCAAGATTACATAAAATGAAAACGGAAGTATTTGAAGAAAATGAAAGAAGAACAGGAGTGGAAAAGGTGACATAAAAACAATAACTATGTAAAGGAGAAAAGACAAAAGAGTTCACATCCAGTGCAAAATGAAAAAGCTCTTCTCAGCCCCCACTTTTCCACAGCAATGATTAATGAATAAAACTGTGACATGGGAACAAATTACTTTGGTTTCACAACCAAAAATTATTTACGGATAGAATAGTAGTAGAATAGCACCCTCAAGCATTTCCATACAAAGATTAAAGACAACATTTGTGACTGCTCTATAAGCACATCATGCAAAAAAAAAAAAAAAAAATTCTTTCCCACCCTCACATGTGAGGGAAAACAAATAAAAATGCTGAGGCATGAATTGTTATCATTAATCAGACGCAAGAAACAATTCTTCACATCTACAACCTCACACCACATCACCCTAAAATCATGTTGATTAAGCAATGAATTAAAAAAACATGTGCTTGTGGTTCATAAAATGAGTTGAACAAATGTGGTAAGAATAACTAATGTTAATTTTTTTTCCTCAGATAAAATTCAATAAGCTAAATTAAAATCATTTAGCCCTTTCAAGATCAACATTTCCAAGTACACCCGGAGAGTTGATTAAATCAACCAGTATACTACAAAACAAGCTAACAACAGGGAATTCTGTAATCGTTGCTTAACCAAACTAAGTTGTAATATAATACTCATAAGGGAGATGTTGATTACCTTAAACAAACGTTGTGCTTTAATGATATGCCCCTCTCTCTCCTCCCAAGCATATGAAGTGCAACTACATGTCGCCTTAATGCCAATCCTTTGCTCCATGATAAAGGCCTTGAAGGAAATGCTACATAGGAACCCTGAAATGCAATAAAAATGACCTTGAAGGAAATGCTAATGCAATCAAAAATGGCAAACACACTAACAAACTTTCATATAAATATAAAAAGAAAGCTGAGATATCAATACTAGTAGATGACAAGAAATGAGACTCTTCCTCAATAAATAAAAAATCCTCAAAGCAGTACATATAAGAGCTTCCACAACAGAATATTATCTCTCATAGGACAGTGCATGGATTAACCTATTTGCCCAGGAAGCCAGGTGGGGACTTTTTAACTCATCCATCAAGCTCTTGGTTTCTAAGGAACTTTATCTAAATTTCATGATCCATGAATCCTAGTCTACCAGTTGTAGTCCAAAGTTTTCTTAGAATACCTGCAATTGATGGGTCACCAACACCATTGTCTCAACCTCCACCTTAAGCACCCGAACATTTATTCAACAAGGCCTAAACAAATGAAATGCACACAATTAATACATGCAGCATCAAAATAGATTGGAAGCCTTCAACTCATGTAAACAGCAGGAAACAATGATGTGAAAGAGAGCACTCCCAAAATCCAAAAAGGGGGACCCTAACTGACCCCCTAGCCAGAAATGGTACAGGTAACAAATTCCATCTTCTCCTATTTTCAGCAATCAAATTTACACCAGCATAATCTAAAGTTCTCAATGTATTGCCTGAAAATTTCTAATATAAAACAAAGAATGAATATTTACACTAAAATAAAAGGACAAGAGTTCGACCTAAAAAATTCATACTCAGTTGAGTTGCAGGAAATCAAAGAGAATTCCATTAACTTCAATTTTGTTTTGCAAAAAGAGAACAAAAGCTGAATTAAATTCTGTATTATTCCAAATTATCAGCAAAAAATCTCACATTTCTTTCCCTATATTTTCTCAGCTTCCAAACAGGGGTTCAAACTAATACTAACAACTTTTAAGTGAACTCCTTCTAAATACAAGGAAATTTAAGTAAGAATAAGAACCCAATTTCCTTTTTCCTTCTTCTTCTTTTTTCCTTTTAAGCAAAACCCATTTAACGTTCTTAAAAATTAAAAACAAAAAACAAAAAGCAGAGAATAAAGGGAAGACGAAGAAGATAAGAGAACCAACCTCAGACATGAATTGATCCTCTCCTCCACAGCTTCGAAATGAAAATTTGCTTTTTCTTTTTTCTTTTCTTCCTTCCGCGGAAAGATTAATTGATAAAAGATAACGATAGTAATAATTTAAAAAAAAAAAAAGAGAAAGAAATTGGTTTTATCCTTGAATTTCTCTTGAAATGTTATGGATAGATAGAATGACAAGAAAAAGAAAGCCTTTTTAGCGATGAATTAGGGTTTTTATAGGGGGGGCAGACACACCCTTTTTTGGCCTTTTTTATAATTTCGATAAAAAAAAAATAGTTCAGTTAGGCCCCAAAATGGAAAGGGTAAAAGGTAAACAGGTAAAAATAGAAAGCAAGGCGGTTAAAATTTTACATTTTAAGAAAACAAAAGAAAAGAATACTTTGGGCTGGATTTGATATGGGCTTCTTTTCTGGGCCAGCAATCTAATGAAATTGGGCTTTTCTTCTTTCCTTGTAGATGACCTTTTTTCTAATTTTTTATTTTTTTATTTTTTTTATTTTTTGGAAACATATTTTTTATAATTTTTCCTTGGAAAATTGTTGGTGGTGTTATGAATTTTTGAGATAAAAGATTTATTTTTTATCTCTTTTTTTTTCATTTAACACATTCTAAATTTGTAATTTTAAAATATTTGCTTTCTGGAAGCCTATTTAAATTTTTTTTATATTAAAATTTCGCTTTCATTTTTTACTATTTAGATTCCGAACTTTTAATTAAGTATTAACGAGACGACAACAATTGATTCACCGATAATGTATACATGCTATATATCCACAGTGCATTAAAGTTTGGGAAATTGGAAGTCTTTCACTAAATCAGGAGATGCAACTTTAACTTGATAAGGCAACAAACAGGGAGCTGACATACATACATACATACATACATATATACATACATACATAAAAATGAAGAGGGACTATATAACTTCTTCACTACTTCATTCCAAATACAAGGCTGAAAGAAACGTGCCCAAAGGTTCCAACAGCATACAAACTGTGACCAAATTACACTTTGGAAAAATACGAATGAAATAAACCGCATTTTCAGTACCTCTGATCAATTTGATATTATCTTTTTGCCCAGGCACCATCTGCCTTTTCTCCTAGCCCTGCTCAATGCATACGTACAATCAGTTCAGAAATGATTTTATACTAATAGTTATTTACAACTGATAAACGCTGCCTAAGCTAGTATACCTGAAAAATGTTAAGGGACCAAACCACTTCTGTTGATGGCGGAGAGGTATTTGACCAAAAAAAAAAGCCCCATCCTGAATTTCCTCCTCACTACTCATAACCACCATCTACTCTAACAGTGCCACTTTGCCGTCCATGGAAGTTTCCCCCACCACGCCTTGAGTGACTCTGACCCCTCTCCCTGAACCTTGCACCTGTACCATGAGAACCATCTTTCGCTGCTTCAGGATTACTTGGCCTACTATTATTTTGGGGTCCGACTGGCTGGTACTCATAATGTGAATTGTGCCTCTGCCTATCACGGTTTGCAGGTGGGTAATGCTGCTTGATTTCTTGACCAGATGAGCCCCACTCACCACGAGATTCATGCCCTCTGCCGTAACGGGTATTTTGGTTTCCATTTTTGCGGAACCCTGATGTTGTCCGCTGCTCATTCCTAGCATCCACATTTGATGGAGGAGCTTCTACAGGAAGACCAGGACCTTGGTTTGGGGAGTGTGGGCGTCCTTTAAGTGAAGCTACCTTCCTTTCCCTCTTAGAGTCGTGATACCCACCATTATGTGCTTCTTCAACATTTCCTTTTTCAGAGATATACAGATCTTTAAGAGGCTGAGTCATACCTTCACTGGTTTCTTTGTCTGGTTGAGGTGGAATTGACACCCTACCTTGAGGAGCAGAATCCTTTTTGTTGGCCATACCAATTTCAGCCCCAACATTTTGATCACTATCAGGCCTGCTTCCTCTTTGATTGACGGCTGAAGATTTAGGTTGCCAGTGAGATGTTGATCGCTCCCCAACAGCACGAGTTTCTTTTGAAGTAGCAGACAAATCTGACTGACCCATCTCATGTATTGAAGATTGTCTATTAACTTTTTCAGCTTCACCATTATTAATTTTCTTGTGATCAAAATCATAATTGTTTCCCCCACCTTTGTTTCCCTTGAATGCATGTCGCTTTCCTCTGCCTGTCAATCCTTGATCTCTTACAACAGGAACTACTGGTGGTGCAGCAGAATCGGGATTTTCAGGAATGTTCCAACCATCAGATGTATTACATTCATCATACTTGGGCTGTTCTTTCACTGGGCTTGAATCAAGCTTCTGGTGTTGATTATGCTCAGTTGATTTCTGAGTATTTTTACTTGAATTGGAATATTGTCCATCTTGGCCTTGCAAAGTTGCTTCAGCTGAGGCCCGTTGGCGCCAAGAACCATGCCCTCTTCCCTGCCTACTCTGCCTACCATCATTCCTCAACTCTGTGGAATTCCCTACCTTTCCCATGGCTGAGCCCATAGGTTGAGAACATTCAACTCCATGAGACCCAGAATCTGCTCTTACCACAGTCTCATCTGCTGCAGTCTGATTGTCTGAAGGAGCCACTGGCTGTTGACTAATCACTTGCTGAGCCATTTCTTTGGCAACAGGCTTCGGGATATACCTTTCCATCTCTGCCCTCTTGTTTCTTGGATTGTTCTGCACTTGAGCATCATTCTTCACCTGTGGAGCAACAGCCTCAACCACCAATTTGTGGCTGACTTCTTCAAAAGCCTCAGCTTTGTTATGTGACCGCACAGGTGCCCAGACAACAGCATCACTGCTATGGACTGCTGATCTATGAGCTTGTGGAGTTCGTGGCATCCTGCGTAAATGCTGAGATTTCCACTGATTATTCACCCAGCTGTAGACTTCTTCATTAAGTAAAGCTGAGTCCTGCTCCGAAGACCAATTTCCATCCTTTGAATCAGTCAAAGACCGAACTGAGTTAGGATCCAACTCACATTCAGATGACTTTGGCTTCAAACTCTCAACAGAAGTACCAGTAAGATTTGAGTCCTTTGAAACTCCAGATGGTAAAAGAGCCACAGATGATGTCTCCTCCATTTTGTGCTTATTCTTGCCACTCCTGTTATTTTTCCTTCTCTGGTGCACTGGGGGCTCATTCACAACATTTTGTGTGGAAATAGTCTCCGAGCTTGAAGTAAATTCATTTGCGACAGCCTCAGCAGATGGAGCAACATCAACTGCTGCATCCCTATGAACTTTTGGCAATTCAGTTGTACTTGTAGAAATAGACTTCTCACTGGAACTCTTATCCAATGAGCTATTATCCCTTTTTCTATAGCCCACACGCTTCTGCTTTGATGTGCTACTATCACTAACCTGTGAGAGATTATGGAGAGCAGCATCAGCATTACCAACTCTCTGTTGCAAGGGCAAAGACTGGTTATGCATATCTGCAGCTGTCTTATGGACATTCTTTGTTGACACCAGAGGTTGTTGATTGGAAAAAACAGTGGGCTTTTCAACTCCACCAGTGTTACTTTGACTAACATGTGCAACTACAGTTGGGTTAGAAACTGAAGCTAAGCTTGTTGCTTCAGATCTGCTAGCAAGGATACTTTCTTCAGCGAGAGTTTGGGAATCTTCTTGCTTACTCTGGACAACGCTATCAGGAACAGATTCGAACGTCTGAGTTAAACCTTCAGCTGTTTGTGTACGCCTGTTCAACTCTTCCAATTTAGCGAGAGCCTTAGCCTTCTGGTCTCTAGCCCGCTCTTCCTCTTCTTTTTGTCGTTGTTTAACACGCTGCTTTGCCAGTTCCCTCATCATGGCACGCTGAAAAATGTTCAAATACATATTACATTTTCAGGTGTAGAAAACAACCAGGCACATATTAAAAGAAAATTACCTGCGCTTGGCTATCACTTGGATCATATACAGGTGGCATGGACTCTCCCTCATCTCTCACTTGAGAAAACGACCCAGACTTCTCTGAAGCCTCTGATGACATAGAGTCTTGAACGTTCGCATTAGAAGGATTTTCAGAATCTTTGGTAGGTTTTACATTTGATGAGTCCGTAAATGGAGGTTTCTTTCTCCATCCATCAACATCTTGAGGATTGAATCTTCCCCTGCCTCTATGATCAGTTCTACCATGAATACTATGGGTAGATCTCCTGTAAATCAGTATGTAAGTATTTTCTTCAACATAGAAAACAACAGAGACACAATTATCAAATAAAAGCAGCTAAAAAAGAGTAACCTGTTGAAGCCTGCCCCACCAACTGCTGGCAAATCAAGGCTCTTATCTCCAGCAGAAACAGCTGCTTCACTACAGGTAGGTTCAGTCATTCCAGAAGCAGGCATTTTATCAGGAAATACAGCACGAGAACCACTTGCAACTTCATTTGCAAAGTGCTTAGCCTTTGCATCAACTACTTGTGATTTATTTTTCTGCTCCCCCCTACTGCTACCAGATATAGACTCATGACGTCCATCAGAGGCCCGAGCCTTTGCATTTAAACCCTCTATTTTCTGAATCAAACTGGCATCTTTTGTGGCAGCCGGGACTTCTGGATGTGCCACATCCTTTACTGAAATGTCATCATATGCCTTTGAATTTTCCATGCCTTCAGATGACTTTACTTTGCCCAAGATAGAATCTCCTCCATGGTGGTCAGTAATCTGAGAGGAGGTTTCTTCAACAACTGTCTTTATACTCACTTCCTCCTTTTTCTGATTTGCTTTCCAGTCATTTTCCCATGCTGCTGTTCTCCGTTGATCACTCTTCTCTAGACCTGCTGTTGCATTATCCTCCCACCTGTGCTCCTCATCTTTTCCTTCCCAACCATCATGCTGCTTCAGAAGAACCTTGTATGGTCCTCGTATTTCATGAGGATGGCCAGATTCCACATGCTCTGCAGCCAATGTTTTTCCTGGAGGACCATAGCCGCTGGGTCTGGCATGGGAACCACCAGGATCTGGAGCATTTTGACTTGGATATCTGTTGTGAGCAGCAGGGCCGGCTGGTATTCCCATAAATGGTATATCCCTTTCATTTGAATTACAATACCCCATGGGAGGACCATAGTAGCCCTCATAGGCCACAGGACCAGGGTAAAAAGCAGGCCTAATTGGCATACCTGGGCGGACAAAAGCATCAGGCATAGGGCCTCTGTACATATCTC